TTCCTTCTGCGAACTACCCATTTTCATCATCAATTCATGTGGAAAGTGATCAGGATTTTATTGGTGAAAAGAACAGAAACGATAATATCAACATTTTAGGAGATCCATTTATGAGGTAATAATCAAAACTTACTTTTTAATTTACAATCCATATTTCAAAAGTTCAATTAGGTTAATTAATCTATTTATGTATTGTTCCACAATGGTTAGTTACAATTGCATCAATGAAGAAGATAATGGTAGAAGTGGAGAAAAACCGACGAAACGTAAACGTCACTGTAAAAATTCGAAGAAAAAAATTGTCCAAACGGGTTCTGCATTTTATGGAGTTTCAAGGTATGCTTATACTAGTTTTTTTGTTCTTTTTGTTTTGTTATAATCCATATGTAAATTTGGATAATTATATATATTTTCTACCACATATTCATTAAGAACATCTCATAACTAGATGCATTTAATATTTTCCAAAGAAAAATTGTTCATACGTACTATTTTTCTCAGTAATATTTATTGGCTCCGAAGATCTAGAGAGAGATTTTAATAATGATAAAGAGAACAATCATATCCCATTGCTCAACTACACCACTCAATATGCTAAGGGAAAACTACATAATACTACATGAATTATAGGCCTTGAGACAATTTGTCGTCTAAATGCGCCACCTCAATTAGAACTTCGTTGTAACTTACTTCATCTATTGAACCGTATTTGGACATGGGAAAAATTGTTACTCGCTGTTTCTAAACAGTCATATGCAAACCCCGTGAAATTTTATGGATGAAACAAAAGGACGGAGTTAGTTGCAGGTGGCACATTGCAACAAATTCTAATTGGGATGAAAAATTGACTCAATTATAACATAAGTGATTTTGCTTTTAAAAGCAAGAGATCACTTCGTTGAGAAGAGTGTGTGCCTTTGGATAAGTGAGTAGATAGCCTTCTTCATGTATTGAACGAATACCTTAGTTGCTTAAATTTATATACATTATAGTGTGACGAAATGCACTCTTCAATGGATTTTGCAAATGTATATATACATAACAATGAACTTGCTATATATACAGGTACACAGGAGGTCGTTATGAAGCATTTCTGTGGGATAACACTGAGCCACGACGTAAAGGCAAGACAGGTATACCAACATTATTTCATTATCCATTTCCATCTTTTGCTTGCTAATCAAGCAATAACATCCAAATTAACAACTAACCTTTTTTTTTTCTTCTTCTTGTTTCCTCCATCAACGACAGTTTATATTGGTGGGTGAATTTCTTGTATCTCTTTAGTTTTTAACTCGAAAAGTTGCTGGCTTGTCAATAGTTTCTTCTTAATTTGCCCTTTAATTTGGCAGGTGGATTTGAAACAGAAGTGGAGGCAGCTAGAGCTCATGATCTAGCTGCTCTAAAGTTATGGGGCGACTTTGCTACATTAAACTTCACTGTATGATAAATGCTACATTTGAAATTAATATGTTTTTCATTTGCTTATTGTTTATTTTGAATCATATTCCCCTTCTAATGATTTATCCTCCATATCTCTATATATATAACTGTTGTAGCTGACTGAATACAAAAACGAGTTGGAGGAGATGAAGGGGATGTCCAAACAAGACTATTTTCTCCACATTCGAAGGTAAACAGAATATGATCAGTAAGATCTAGGTCTGAATTTCTACAACTTAGTGGGGTACTTCACTCGTGCTCTACTTTCTCGCTCTAATTTGTCTTCATATGCCCGAAAATTGAATCCTTTTATAGGCGAAAGACATCCACATCTTCCTTCTTGTTAGTAATGGCCCCAATTACTTGAAACTGAACTGGTCTTCATACACCATTTAATCTTAATTGTACCTAGTATTATATGCTTTAAATGTTGCTTCTTCATCTTTCTCTACTAATTAGCTGTATCTTAATCTTGCCATATTTCAGAACAAGTGCTACTTTTGCCAAGGGTTTATCTACATATCGTGGAGTGTCAAGGTATTATGACTAATCCTCTCTCGCACTCTCTCTTTCTCTCTCTCTCTCTCTCTCTCTCTCTCTCTCTCTCTCTCTCTCTGTGACATAGTCAAGCCTTGAAACAGGAACTCGTACCATAAGAAATGGCAAGCCAGATTAGGCAAAGGGGGAGGGCTCAAAGGAGTTTACCTGGGTACATTTGGTAAGATCCTATATGACCCTTTATGCCTCATATTATCTAATGATTGATTTGATGATCAAGACCACAGCAAAAGATGTTACAACTTAGCTAGAAAAGAATATCCACAGTTGGCTTTAACTACTTGAGCTGAATTAATTAATCATTTTGCCAACCAACCAGCAACTGAAGAGGAAGCAGCAAGAGCTTATGATGTTGCCGCGATAAGGATGAAGGGCACAAAAGCAGTCACAAACTTTGATCTAAGTCAATATGATCTCAACAGCATTTTTAACAGCGCAAAGCTTCCAATTGGAACGGGTGCTTCAAAGAAGTTAAGGTGGTCTTCAGTTGATGATGTCCTAGAAAACAGAAGAAGCAGTGGTGCTAATCAGAAAATTCCCATTTTGCAACTAGATGAGGATTATAGCACAGGCATCTCTAGGCTGAGCTCAACAACTCAACCATCATCCTCATTTGAGCCAACAATTCATCAAATCCTACCAACCCCCAACAATTCAAACCTCAATCAATATGTAAGCCCTTTCTCCCATCATGCCCTCCAAATCACTGATATCCAATATAACCAACTTTCCCAGGACTTCACTGTTAACCCTAGCTCTCAAGTTCATGATGTTCCTGGATGCGAAAACCTTAACTTTCAGAGAAGCCCTAGTTTAAATCAGTGGGTTGGTACTTATGGAGGAGGTGATAATTCAGAGGGGAGTGGTTTCAGTGTTGGAGGGTCTCAAATTTATGGGAGTTTGGATGGTGATCCAACAATGAGACAGTTTGTTGATGGAAATTCATCAGGTTTCAGTTTTGGCAGAGATATTGAGAATCATGAGTTTGATCAGTTACATCAGTATAACAGTGATTCCTACAGCCAATATCTCAACCAAAACCTTAGCTTCTCCTCCCTTCTTCAAGACTCCATGCAGGTTCCTAATAATCCTCGAACATTTTACCCCACTTTTCTTCCTGGGTTGACTAACCTTGATCCAGGCCCCAGTTATATAGGAGAATCTTCCCGTAGTGTTAGTCAGGTTCCGGAGGTGAGTTTGGAGGCCATGTTGGCGGAGAATAATCAGAGTTGTGGCAATGGCATCATCAATGAAGTGTTTTCTCTTGATCATGAAGTACCTGTTAATATTATGGAGGGAAACTCAACAGTACAACCAGGATATGCTGAAAATGGAAATTTTGTTGAAGACTTTGGGGTGGAGAAATCGGCTGGATTGGACCTTGATGATGACTTTCCTGCTAGCTGGGTGGAGATGTTCTTGATGACCTTAGAAGGTTCTGATTGTCATGTGTGAAAGGTAGCTTGGTAGGCAAGAGTAGATGGTGTGACTTCAACAGGGAAGATAAGTGGAAAGAGTATAACCCATTGATGATTGAACAACCCGTTGATATTTTTAATTTGATCAAGACTTAACTTTGTTTGAATTTATCTTTCATAGTGGACCCGCTATTTTGCAATGTTTGAACTTTGATGTTTTACTTTGGCTGCTCTTTTTTTATCCTATTGTAAAGCTCCCATAATTGTTTGGGCTAACGAGAGTTCCTGAGAATGATAGTGAATTTGCATGGTGTCATAATATTGGTCTATATTCTAAGATGATTTCTTTTCAGAAGATGAAGTCCATAGCCATTCGTCATGATAAAAGATGAAGTCCATAGCCGTCATGATAGCTATTCAAATATCGTACACGGTTATGGACTTCATCTTTATATAGTGTTTCAAAGCATTCAGGATGATGTAAAAACTAAAAGAAAGAGTCCTAATGCAAATCAAATTCTCTGTGTTGGGCCAAACATAGTTTGTTGCAAGCTTCAACCAGGTTTTAGTGATCACGTGTTACATCCCTTTTGTAATTGAAAACCTGATATTAGGAGAATTTTCTGGGAGTGGGTTGCAAAGGTTTTTTTTAGGATTTTACAATATTATAATTTAGAAAACCAATATTATAACATTATGCAAATTCACTATCATTCTCAGGAACTCTCGTTAGTCCAAACAATTATGGGAGCTTTATATTGAATTTTGAATTTATCCTTGCAATTTCTCTAGTTTTCTCCTTTTTGGGGCATGAATTTTTGTTTGTTCGGGTTTAGGCATTTCTTTTGGGCCTCTGCTTTCAACAATATCTGTTGGATGCAAGAATTCTATAGTGACTCATGTTAGAAGTTGAATTGCATTCTTCTTTTTCGGAAGGATTCTATAATGAGGGCCTATGTGTGTTGAGAGGTTCAATCTAACTGGATAATTCATCTGATGGCTAGTAAGAACCCATCAACTTTCCCTTGGGGAAGCAAACTGGTTGCTGAGACTATTGTCCTGCAATTAGCTCCCCTGCTTCGTTTTCAATAACAGCAACCATCCCCCTCTTAGTTACTTTGTCACCACAAGCTCCATCGAAATTCAACTGGACTAAAGAAGCCAGTTTTGCAATGTGATAGTCTCCATAGAATATAATGCCAATATCTGAACTTGAAGAAACAGACTCCATCAAAATACAAGAAGAAAAGGTAGATATTCTTACTGCTCTTGTTCATTTCATTTCCCTTCACAAAATTCTTCCTTAAAAACCAAATCTGCATAGCCAACCACGGCTTAAAAAAAGATCTCTGTAGCTGGAATGAAGCCTCCCAATTTCAATGCAATTGGTTGAGAAAACTAAACACTTGTGGCATTTGACAAGTCTTGAGTGTCCTGAAGCCCTGAAGCTGAAGATAGTTTTTAAAGAAAAACATAGGGTGTGCTTCCTGTATGAGTCCACAAGAAGATTCTGAACCTAGAGTTTGATCTCCAATCTTGGTACAGGTAATAAACATGGAATCTATTTGCACAATCCACATCTGAAAAATCAGGGCCACTAACATGCATTATGACTATTATTAATCTTTGAGATCAGATAAATTTACTGGCTCGCCAGTAACATGTACAACATGAAAAACTGTACTCATAAACTTGATAGCAGTTTCTTTATTACATACACTTATTGATTTATATAATTACCAACACAATCTATATATGATTTAGGCATCTCTCTTGCTAGAGGCATACAAATTCTACGGTTGAAGGAACCTTTTCTATAAGCTGCTGCCTAGCAAGATTTCTTGCATTTTCTTCCCTCTCCACTTCTTCAATAGTCTTCTTTATTCTGTGCTTAGGAAAACAATAATGTGGTTCGATAGGATCAGCAGGATCAATAACAATTTTCTCCAGTTGAACAGCATTCTCTATCAAGTACTTGACAATTTCAAAATCACTTGCGCGACCATCATACCCTCCAATTTCCACTACCCTAAGGTACTCATGGGAGCATTTGGATGCCTTCTTAAATCTCGTTTCTCTTCTCTCGCATAACGGGTACAACTGCACCAAGGAAACAATACAACAAGAACCAAAAGTTCCAGGAAGTCTATAGCCACCGAATAGAACTATCATTACACTCAAAAGTCTTTAGAGTAAAAGTGCACAACTTGGGAACTGGAAGCTACATTACCATAATTAGCTACCAAATAGAATTACCATTAAGACAAGCTTGTAAGTCTTTAGAGCCTCTAATTCAAAACATATTTAGGGTTCTTTCATCTAGGGATCCCAATTTTACGAAAGGAAATGGATTGCAAGTGCACCCACTCCTCAATACAATTACAAAAAAGGGAACATAACACATAATAGTAAAACATGACTATTACCATAAGTAACTACTTCATAAATCTTCCAAAATTCAGTTTCATACTCGATATCATATAACAGCAAGGCCTATATCTTAAAAAAATTTCACCCAGAAATCCCCTAAACTGGCTTTGTGGACTTGGATTCTTAACTGCTCTGACTACTTGACCAATACCTCATAAACAAAATCACCAAAGTGCATATACTAATACTAAGTTTTACTGGTACAGGAAATAGAACTAAATAAAAATACGTACCTCCAACACAAGTCTGTGCAAGTACGGAGATGCCTTAATGAAAGAAGCCAACTGAAGAAGGATGAAGCAATCATTTGCTTGAAATTTTAGTTCCAATTGCTTGAGATTTGCTAGTACAGGAAATACATGATTCCTTTCTTGGAACTGAAAACCAAACAAACAAGGGCTAAGACACTAACAGAATCCAACAAGAAGAAAGTAAAACCAACACTTAAAACTTAGATATACTAACCAGAAGTCCGTTCAGTTTGAGAATCTCTAGCTGAGAAAGACAGCATGAAAGTTGAGTGAAGGCATCCCCTATGCTCTTATAGGAAAAATCACATACCTCAACAAGATGTGGTAGATTCCTAAGAAGCATGTTTATCTCACATCCAACATAAATAAACGAGACTAGGTTTGTGTCACATATCTCAATGCTTATGAAGCTGGAACATTGCTCTATCACTAAGTACTTCAATGAAACTGATGGACCAACAACTCTTAGATTGCGCAAATTTGGTGAATCATCCACTAATAATCGTTCAAGAACAGGACAGTTGGACAAGAAGTACTCAAGAACTTCTTCCTCCACATCAACACTTTTGAAATTAAGAACTGTGAGGGACTTAAAGCCAATGCATGCACAACGGTGGAGACTTGGAATATCAGAACACAAGTGCTTCAAAGTGGACTCTTTTTTTATACCTAAAAGTTCATGGGGAAAAATGTAGCATGGGAAGAACTTCCGAGGAAAAACACCGTATGATAACAAGTCCAACTCAAGCATTTGAACTCCCTTTTCCATTGCAAATTGAATCCATTTATCGAGGGAACTTGAAAACTTAGGATCAAGATCGAAACAAATCCTGAATGTTTCAACCATTGGGCCTCGATGATGTTCCACCACATTATTCACCCAATCAACGTACCTACAGATTAACAAGTCTCGTGCTCCTGCTCTGAGGTTAGACAATCTGCATAAAGTTTTCTCAGCATCAAAGTCGAGAGTCCTAGTAGATGCTAACACATGCCGCCACAGATGCTGCCATCGCCTAGAAAGGACACTGGTGGCTTGTGCTTCCTTTAGTGACAAGAGAGACAGTATACTAACAAGTACTTCATTTGGCAAACTACTAATTCTGTCCAAGCCCAAATTGTTGTTGCATTCATGCTTATTTTTCTTTCTATCTCTCAAGTTGTAACCCCCCTATGAAATGAACGGAACCACACAAAAAATAAAAAAGTCAATTAAGATTAAGGAGAGTAACCAGGTACTCTTCTCTCTTTGAAAATTCCCTTAAATTATGAAATCTATTTTACAAAAGAGACCCAATTAATAATCAAAACAATCAGAAAAACAAAAGCCAAGCCAACCGGAGGAAATGATGCACTCTTTGATAGAAATTAAGGAGAGAATTTAAACAAAAAGCTTCATTTTTGTACTAGTTAGATATATGGGAAGAAAAAAGATGCAAACTTCATAGTATTTTTACCTGTTCTTGGGCAAATTGAGAAGTTGGTCGACGCACCCTTTTCTTCATTGAATCTGACAGTGGTTTTTTCCTCTTTGAAATCTTAACCTGAAAAGGGTCTTCTAACTCATTGCTACAGCGGGCAAGCGAGTCAGAGAGTGGAAGACGAGTTAGTGATTTTGGGAAGAGGTAGGTATTGGATTTAGGTCTTACTGTACTGAGTCGTCTTCATCTCTCTCTCTCTCTCTCTTTCGCTCTCTCTCGATGCTATCAGCTCCGACACCCATTTTTCGGCTTTCAATTATAGCCAAGTCTTGTTGGACTTTCTCTATGCTTTGTCTGGTTTGGGGGGAGGGCCCTGTTGGGCCCTTTTGTTTCCTTTATTTTTTATTTTTTGACAATTCTTGTTTCCTTATATTAATTGTTGTTGAGCATAGTTTATTAAATTTAATTGGAAAGAAAATACAGATTTTTTTTTTGCCTTTAGGAAAGTAAAAAAAAAAAAACTTGGCTCTGGAGCTCCTCTTTACAATATGGTTTTGACAATTGTCAAATTTATTTAACTTTTTTTTTTTCTTGGAAAGTTTTTCAATTTTACTAGAATTTGACAAGACGATTGCTGATTTGGGACGTCAAAGACCCAATTTGTGGCCATATAAACACTGGATGGATCCCACCAATTCTTCCATTAATTTTTTGTGAAATAGACCTAACATGGGAGTAGAATTAATATGCTTCAAAGTTGCATCTTTTTATAAACGAAACACATTATCGTTTTTCTTCTTATGAGTTAATACGACATCAATTACTTTTTATCGAATTACATCTTTTTATAGGAGAAACACATTATCCTCTTTCGTCTTATATATGTTGGCGTGACTTGTGGATATTGACTTACTTTCCTTACACACCAAGGATTCCTATTTTATTTGTAATTGATTTACTTTAATTCCTGATTTCCTACTGTAAATAGATTTAGGAATTTATTATTTACTTGCCCATTCAGGTTTTGTTGTATTATAAATATGACCTCCTACAAGGAGAAGAATACATAGAAAATTCCCACAAACAAATATTCTCTTATAGTTTTCATATTTTAGCATGGTATCAGAGCGGCGATCTTGGAATTGCTG